TGGCCAGGGCAGGGCCTAGGCGGTTTGCCAGCACTTTGGTGAGCAGTCGGTAGTCCGAACAAAGCAGGGTGATAGGACGGTAGTTGCCAGGGAGTTTGGGGTCGCCTTTTTTGTAGATCACCGTCAGTACCCCCTCCAAGAAGCCCTTCGGCACCTGCCCCGTCAAGCCTATGGCGGTGAGCAGGCCAGCCATGGTGGTGCCAATGGCCGACCAGAATTTCCTGTAGATGTCGGCTGGGATGCCGTCCCACCCCGGGGCCTTGCCAGGCTGGCTTTTCTTAAGAGCCTTTCGTAACTCGGTGGCCGTGATGGTTCTGGATCCCAGCTGTTCATCTGCCTCTGCGGGTAGCGAGATGTTGGCGGCCGCCAGGGAGTTTAGCACCTCCTGCTGGGCTTGGGGGCAGATGTAGTTGGGAGCTCGGCTCACTTCACTCCAGAAGTCTGCGACCACCTGGGGAAGCTGGCTAGGATTAGTCACTATATGTATGTATGTATGTATGTATGTATGTATGTATGTATGTATGTATGTATGTATGTATGTATGTATGTATGTATGTATGTATGTATGTATGTATGTATGTATGTATGTATGTATGTATGTATGTATGTATGTATGTATGTATGTATGTATGTATGTATGTATGTATGTATGTATGTATGTATGTATGTATGTATGTATGTGTGTATTGTTACAGGGTGGTTAAGCTTCACCAGCGGCCCCCTTTCCCGAGGCAGTTCCCTGCTCTCCCCTGCGAGAGGATCACCCTAATCCATTCACCCCATCCGACTTCAGAATGTATTCGTTGGGTTCAGCAACTCACCACCAGCATTCAACCAAATCTAACGGATCAATGGCGCCACAACTTAGTTCCTGGTTAGCTCGCGAGTTGACATAATCACGTCCTACACCGTCCACGAGATGGGGGACCACCTCCCTATTCAACACCCCTCAAACACCGAGAGATTGGCAGGCGGATTTGAACCCGGAACCTCCGGGAGCAGAAGTTAGGCCTTAACCTCTGCCAGCCGCCTGCCTATGTATGTATGTATGTATCGCTATTTACCAGGACTCGGCACGTGAGTTCCCCCCCGGGCCGCTGTAATGTAGCGACCATCCCTCCCCACCCCCCAAACCCCCACCACCCAAACCCCCTTCCCCAGGATGCAGTTGCCCGGGTGGGTCAGGACCGGGTGCTCGTCACCACGACGGAGAGAGTGGCCAAGAACAAGCGAGCGGAGAAGCGGTTGATGCGGGAGCAGTGGCAGCAGCAGGCGGGCGGCAGTAAGGCCCCGCGTAAGGCCCTGGCCGCCGGGGACCTGGAGGGCGAGCAGGACGCGCTGAGGGCCCCCAAGGTGAGGCCTGTGCTGGCTTGCTGACGGAGGAGAGTGCTCCGGAGGCAAGTCCATGTGCGCGGATAGCACTGGTTGCTGAGAGGGGCAGCTGGACGCCACCTGCTGCAGCAGCACCAGCAGCACATGAGGAGCCCACTGGGGTCGTTAGGGTTCGAGGCAGCTGCGGTGCCTGCTTGGCCTCCAGAGGTCCTCCTGATGGGCTGTGTCTGTGACTGCAGCATCAGGACTCATTTCGGCCCCCTAGCTCATGAGGCCATCTGGGCCTTTGGTCGGAGAGCTCAGAGTCGGTAAGGGACAGCTGCACAAGGGTAAGAGACAGCTGCACAAGGGACGTATGCGCGGGGAAAAGCAACAGCGGCGGCCCGACCTTGCCAGGCTCAGTCATCGGGAGCTCGTGGAGGTGCAGATGCAGGTGCTTGAGATAACTCGGCTTTTCGACGTCGCCCACCCGCATGTGTATGAATGTACGTATGTGTATTGTTAAATACGTGATGTGTACGGCCCCCGGGCGTGTTTCCCCCTCCCTCCCCTCTCCTCCCTCCCTCCCTTCCCCCCTCCCTCCCTCCCCGCAGGCTCTGGCCGACTTGGTGGAGGCCCTGGTTGGTGCCGTGTACCTGGACACCGGGGGTGACCTGGGGGCGGCGGAGCGGGCAGTGGCGAATATCATGCTTGCGTGATGATGAGGAGGAGGATGAGGAGGAGATTGAGGAGGATGAGATTGAGGAGGAGGAGGAGGAGGACGGGGTGTATGTACGTATTTATGTACGGCCACTCCGGAGCTCGCGGTATGCTTGCCGTTTTGCATCCATAGCATTTTAGTGTGCTGTGAGATCGATCAATTGATTGATTGATTTCATTGATATGGATGGCGACCATTTTGTATTCGCCAGGCTATGCTGCGCATGTGATGGTTGTCCAGAGGGGGAAGATTAGAGCCATCGAGGGGAGAGCCATGTCTGGCAAAGCAGCTGCTCGCACCAGCCACGAATGCATGCGGGCACCCCGTTGGAGAGAAGTGTGTGTGTGTGTGTGTGTGTGTGTGTGTGTGTGCTAAGGGTTTTAGGGTTTCTAGAAGCCCTAGGGATCTGAGCCGCGGTGAGGGAATGGCGATGGTGGTGAACAAATAGGTGAGCTCCGTAGTCCAGTGGCGAAATGGAGTCCAGTAATTTTCGAATTCGTGTTAACTGACAGAGTCCTCTTAGTGGTGCTAGAGCCAGTAGAAGTAAGCGGTGCTTTAGTGGCGAGAGGTTTCTTCTTCTTCTTCTTCTTCTTCTTCTTCTTCTTCTGGCTGGCGACAGGCAACGAGGAGACCGAATGTTTCAACCAACCAACTAGGATTTAACCTGAAAACCAATTTTCCTAATTTCTTAACCTGACGGACTAAGCAGAGGGTCATGTTACCAGAGCAGATGTGATGCGATGATAAGCAGGTTACCTGGCACAACAAGAAGCCCTTCCCGTGCGAGAAGGACCTTTGACCTGTAACCGAAGGAAATCGAAGGATGTCGACAGAGAAGCAGCAGCAGGAGCAGCAGCAGCAGCAGCGGGAGTAAGTACATGTTGTTCTGAGAGATGACGGTGTGTGTGTAGGTTGTGTGCACATGCAAGGAGGTCACGTAGGTGTGGGGCCCCAGTGGATATGTGCGAGTGGAGCTCACACTGGCCGGGCTTTGCTTGCACTGTGTCGGCGATTTATGCATTCGTAGTGATGATGTTGATAATGATGGATGATAACGACGTAGTTGGTCGCCGTGCACACATGGACAGGTAGAGGCAGCAGTAGTGTGTCGTGTCGTGCCGTGTTGAGCTGGGTCCGGTACATAGCGGCACAGTGGAATATGGTGTAAGGAAAGAAATACACTCACCTTGCATTGTTTTCGGATCTTAGGGGTTTCCGAGTTTTCATAATGTGATAGTCAACTGGTACCAATTATGGAAATGTGGAGCCCGTGTCTTCGTGCGAGGTGCGAGTGGCGGTGCAGGCGAGGCGCCCCTGGGGGCACCTCAGGGAAGGTGTGCGGCCCACGTCTGTCCAGCCCCAACCCACCTGGGGACCTAGCTACCTTCCTAGTCAACACTTCCTAGTCAACCAGCTACCACCTACCTAGCTGCCTAGCTGGCTGCGAACCTAGCCACCTACCTACCTATCTACCAATTTAGCTATGTACCTAGCTACCTGCTATCTATCTACCGGGCTACTTGCTATCTACCTACCTAGCTACCTACCTAGCTACCTACCTAGTCGCTATTACGTACCTACCTAAATATCGGTTTCTTCGACATGAATTTTCCTTTCCTGAGATAAAATTATGATTCTTCTTAGGCGTTGTTAGCTATTAATCTATTTCGGTCAGCCTTCGGCGGGCTTGGGGGCCCTCGTTGTTACACCTTGGGAGGTAACACAACTCGAGGTGTAACACACACACACACACACACGCACGCACTTGCGGTTGTCCCAGGTTCCCTTAAGCAGCAGGGGACTCGGTATGCTGGGGTGCTGTTATTGCTGTTGCGTGTTGGAATGTGGAGAGAGAATACAAGCCCCGGTATGTATTGCACGTCCCCGGTACCTGCAACCCCTCACATCCACTGTAGGGTGTTGCAGGTGGCCGGGCAAAGTTCATTTGTAGGAGCCTAATTAAAGATTCCCAGCGACAACAGCATAAAAACGCAAGGGACATTTATGGCATAGCAGCAGAGTATGTGCCCTTCATACGCAAATGGAACTTCTGAAGGCCCCAATACTGTAATCAGCCATCTGGCCTATTAGGGGTTGTTAGGGTCACCCGCGATTCTGCTCCTGAGCTGGATCAGCAGGTTTCCAACAGCTCATCCCAAGAACCTGTTTCGTGTATGTCCTGCCACCACTTCCCCGACCCACAGCGGTGACGGAGCCCAACACCTGTTGGGCGGGTGGTGCATGTGCGCACCCTAGCCAGGGTGTTCCAGGGAAGTCGGTGTCCTACCTGAGAGAGGAGAGGAGAGGAGAGCATCCGCCACTGCCTCTGCTCGGGCGCTGTTGCGGACTGCGGGGCGCGGCAAGAATGTTAAGGGCTGACAGCATGATGATTTTACGGATGAAGTCATCAAAGCTTTGCATGCCTCCCTAGATCCAGCGGCGCCGTTCCGTTTCCCACAACCTGAGGGGAGGGGTTAAACCTTGGCACGCAAGTTACTAAACGGAACGCCAGGTAAGCTACTGCTACTACTGCTCTGTCCACTTCATTACTGTTGCTGACACACTGGGGACGTTTTCCAGTAGTCATCCAAAATGCTGACTGCATGGTACTTCGGTCTCTTTTGGCTGCTGACCTCCATGGCCTTGGACGCATCCAAGGTCCAGCACTCAACCTCCCCAACTGGTAACCTCCACTTTAACTTCCTAAACGGACTATGCCAACGTTCAACGTTCAATAAACCCTATTGCCATGACACTGACAGCTGACGCGAGCAGAGAGGCCGGCAAATCTATTTCATCGGCTGCAGGTCACAGAGTTATCTATGTCACTCCCCAAAACATCTTTATGGCCGCCAACCGGCGCCCGGGAATGTCTGTTTTCGGACATTTTTTTGCTGTAATTCGGGACCCGCAGCCGTGGCTATAGGCGTTTTTCGGAGTGGGTATTGCGTCACGACCCGCCGGACCGCAGCACTGCCGACCTCTGCGCGAGCGCAAACATTGCGTCCTGGACATTGTGTCCTGAACATCACTCGTGTAGATCGTTTTACCCAACATTTACTTCACAAGTATTCTAACTTTTTTTACAGTACAACAGTGTGAGCTGTCAATGAAAAACGGTGCTTACGCCAGCCAGTTACTAGGAAAAGCTCATCTTTCAGTATGGCGTGGTCTTGAAGACTTTAAGGCTGAAAACGGTTTGGCCAGTGGAGTCCTCGGCGCTCTGTGGCTCTGGTCCAGCAGCTATGCCGCCAGCATTCTTTCCTAACCTGACCATATCCTGGTTTTCAACACTCCTTAAGAAGGTATTTGTATTTTTGCTGAAATTTATCTGGGCGCGAATGTGGTTCGGCGTTGTTTGCCGCGAAGCGTTTTTTAAAGTAATCCCCGAAATCACTTGCCTGTCTGGATAAGCTGTGTGACGGAGGAGATAGTGAGTACTAACCTTTTTAATTATTCGTTTGGGTTGCCCAGCATCGCTCGGCTGGGCTGCTGAATATCCATCAAGCCCGTTTTAGGCATTAGCCACGCGCGCATGTGGCATAAGTCCCTTATTTCTCCTAGCATGATGTGTGAAGTGGCTTTCATTCCTGCGATGCGCAGGGATGGCGGAATCCGCTTGAGGTCGGCGACTTGCTTCCCCTTCCTCAGCATTTGGTGTGCGCGTCGGCATACCATGCATTCCTCCGGGGGCTGTCGGCGCTGCCTGTCCCACCTTCGTACTCTGTCAGCGCTGGCGACAGCAGCATTGACGCCCTATTCATCAATAATAGCGGTGCCGGCCGCAGCGGCAGCTGTACAGCCACGGCCACCAACACGGACAGGGCACCTCGGGGCTCTCATTGTGAAAGCGGGGAGAGCCGCCACGTGGCAGGTGATGGACAAAGCAGCAAGAGCTGCGGCCGCGGTCATGATCGCGTTAAGACACACTTGGCCAGCGGCCACGTCACCCTGGTGCCATCACCCGAGCAACACCTGTACGACACACGTGCGCTGCTGCGTCTGATCTGGTTACTGCATGGGCACGCCCTGTGGCGAGCCCTCGCGCTGATCTACTGCTACCAGGTCTTTGTGTTCTTCCAGCCTGTTCTCCTGAACGTGAGTAGAGCTGCCAGTAGAGAGTCTATACGTGGTGCTGCTGACTAACACACATTGCCTTGTGAGGAGGCCGGACGAGCGCGGCCGCATGCGCAAGAGAGAAGAGGGATCGGCGAAAATGATCTGATGCCATGATGCATGTTTTTAGGTAGCCCGCACGTAATACCCCACACACGCTCGCAGACTTATTAGCTTACCTTGTTAGTGCTCTGGGGTTTTTCTTCACTTGAGCAGTGGGATTGTGGATACCGGGTACCTGGCTGCTGGTATGGGTAGAGTCTGCTGGTTCCGCTGCTGCCCCTGCTCACATTTGCTCCACTATGGTCATGCTACCCAGCTCACATGTGCCGCGTGCGCATCTGCCGTCATCCTTGCAGGAGCTGACCAACCAGCTGGCACACGGGCGGCCAGGTGGGCGGAGGGTCAGTGGGGCGGCCAGGGGCGCCCTGGTTGGCTGTGGTGTGTTACCAGCTCCTAGCAGTAGAGCGTGGGGATAGTGCGGCCTACTTGTTGTTGCGAACTGCAGCTAATAACGAAGATGGTCCACCACATAACTACCTCGCCCCACGTGGCTTATTGCGTAATCGGCGGCTGCGTTTGTCACCTTATCTCTCCTCCTATCTAGTTCCGACAGTTGTCTGGACCATTGCGGTGCTGCTCGCGTCCGTTTGATACATCACATCTGCTGGCGGGTGGTTTTGGATACGAGCGATTAGCAGCTAGCTTGGAATGAGGCAGGAATTGTGCTATTGGGTAACTGATTCTACCTGCTGCTCTGGTGAAGCTAGCTGGAGCTCGCATACAGTTCTCGGACTCTCGTAGGAGGTGCGACGCATTGTACGTGCAAGTGCCCCGCATCTACCCATGTAGCCGCCCGCTGCTTCATGCTTCCTTTCCTTTCCCTACAGCTGACAAGCGCATCTGGATTCTACCAGCGCTGCTGTTTCTGTCGCCGCTGTTGGGCTCTCTGTGCAAGGCTCAGGCCCAGCTCATTATGATCCAGATCCAGATAGCGCTGCGCTCCCAGTTGACTGCGGCTGTGTATCGCAAGTGCCTGCGGCTGTCCGCGGGCGCCCGGGCCAGCCTGCCCTCGGGCCGGGTGGTGAACCTCATGTCGGCGGATGTGGCCAAGATCTGCGACTTCCTGTACCCCCAGCTGACTTTCATTTCGGTGGCCCCACTTGCGGTGGTGGTGTCGCTCATCATGCTCTGGTTCAAAATCGGGTGGGTGCTGGGTGGGTTAGATTGGCTGCGGCAGGTTGGGCTGCTGGAAGTAATAGTGTCGGAATCGGTGGTGTTGCCAGGTTAGGTGCTTCATTGCCTCATGCTGCTAGTGGGATGGCGGAGTGGGGGAGATGTGCAGTGCCGACCGCGCGACAGACTCCTGTGTGCACTTGTAGGTTGTCATGCCGTCTACCTTGAGTGCTACTCCTGCATACCCTAACAAGTAGCCCGTGTCGCTGACAGCTGTTGGAAATACATACATACATACATACATACATACATACATACATACATACATACATACATACAAGGCAGGCGGCTGGCAGAGGTTAACGCCTGACTTCTGCTCGAGCAGAGGTTAAGGCCTGACTTCTGCTTCTCTCGGGAGCTCCCGGCCGACCCGGGTTCAAATCCGCCTGCCGGCTCCTCGGGTGTTTGAGGAGTGTCGAAATGGGAGGTGGCCCCCCATCATATGGACGATGTAGGACGTGATAAAATCAACTTGCGAGCTAACCAGGAACTAAGTTGATGCGCTGTTGATCCGCTAGATTTGGTTGGATGCTGGTGGTGAGTTGCCGAACCCAACGAATACATTCTGAAGTCGGACGGGGTGACGGATTAGGGTGCCCCTCTAGCAGGGGAGAGCAGGGACTGCCCCGGGAAAGGGGGCTGCTGGCGAAGTTAACCACCCTGTAACAACATACATACATGTACGTGGCTTTACTACATGTCTGTCTGTCCACAGGTGGGGCACCCTTGTGGGCTTAGCAGTGCTGCTGCTCAGCAGCCCCGTCTCAAACATGGCTGTACGGGCGACCCAGGTGTGTACGTGCGTATGTATGTACGTAGGTAGGTAGGTAGGGCTACATAGGGGGGCATCAGGAAGGACAGCAGCAAGGGGACATTGATAAATAAGGGGTAGATGAGTGCATACATAGGGCCCACAGGCGCATCACCCACATGTGCTACTGGTTATTGCGGAGTGTTTTATGAGGCAACAACCAGTACTTAATAGCTTGCGATATCGTCCAGTGTGAGATTCCTCGTTTGAGACTGCAGCTGCGTGTTTCAACTTTGGGTTGGAGCCAGGGGAGGCCGAAAGCCACAGGCTGGAGTGTAATGATGTAATACGACGATTTCGAAACCGGTTCGTGCCTAGATAGCGACGTAGCCATGTAAGTATTTATACAAAAGTACTTCAATGATGGTGGGACTGGCAAGATCTGGAAGCTGTAGCTACAAACAACTCTTAGATCGCATGATCAGCCAGTGACATGATGACAAGTACACGTGTGTGTATTGTGCTATGTTCATTTCGCATTACCCACAAACCCACTCACTCACTCGACAACCAACCCTGGCTCTGAACCCTACCTACCCTACCTGCACGACCTTCCGTCCTCTACGTCAGCGCCATCGGAATGAGATGTTGAAGGCATCGGACAGCCGGATGAAACTGGTGGGTGGGTGGTGGCCATGCTGATGAGGGTCCTGGGGCGGGAAGGGAACCGAATCTCGTTGGTAAGGCCCCTTAACAAAGAGACGATGAGGCCATAAACCTACGAGCCCTGCCTGTATTTCGGTCGTGTAAACCGCATTAAAAACAGCGGGTACTTAGCGGCATCACAGTCGGCCACCAAATGTGACACTGCTTGCCGATAGAGTACAATCACCAGACCCGCGTATCCGAGCTAAGGACCTCCTCACACACATGCGGTAGGATGCATAACAGTCCTTCACTTCACGGCCTCCAGGGTGTTAACCTACCTGCTACTCGGGTGTTGTTTGTTTCAGGTCTTTCTGTCGGGTCACCCCCCGTCCCCCCACCTCGCCTCACCCACTCACCCACGCACAGGTTGGTCAGTTCCTGGCGGGCGTTCGGGTCATCAAGATGTACCACTGGGAGCAGCCACAGGCGGAGTCCATCACAAAGTGCAGGTATGGTGTAGGTTTGTACGTATGTATATATGTAGGCATGCAGAGGCGGCCATGCGGGCCACGTGCTGCCACACGCTGGGGCCACGGGCCACGTGGGGTCACAGCATCATAGACAGCTAGGGATTGATGGATAGTTGGATGCACCGGATGGTTACTGGAGGTGAAAGCTTTGTGTTACCCGCCCATACTGCTATGGTGCTATGTATGTCAACACACATACGTGGGCGTCTGTGAACTTGGCACCAACGGTTCGACACCTTCACTGTGGCGTTGTTTTTGAAGTCCTTGTTGTTCGTTCCTCCGGTCTAACCACCTCTGGCAACAGTATGTACAACCCACTGCATCTCCTCCCGCGAGGAAGTCCGAGGCACTGAGATACCCTATCCGGCCCACCTCCACTGCCCCCACCTCCCCTGCTCCCATCTCCACTGCCCCCACCTCCACTGTCCCCACCTCCACTGCCCCCACCTCCACTGTCCCCACCTCCACTGCCCCCACCTCCACTGCCCCCACCTCCACTGCCCCCACCTCCACTGCCCCCACCTCCACTGCCCCCACCTCATTGCGCGAATCCCACCATTCTCTTGTTTGCTGGTGGGCCACCCACGCGACAGGGCGGAGGAGCTCCGGGCGCTGCGTAACATGATTCCCTCCAAGGTATACCCGGGTGCATGGTGGCTCACCCGCCACCAACCTGCCACCACTGCTGCTACTGCTACTGCTGCTACTGCTGCTACGGCTGTGTCGTTTGGGGTTATCGTGTGCTGGTCGGGCACCTGATGTCCTTTGGTCCTGCATGTCCCGGTAGTGAGTTGCTCACGATGCACATGGTGGTGCCACACCCCGTGTTCTGGTTCACAGCGGGCGGCATGCACGTATGAACTGCCCGTGTGGTGGCTCTCTCGGATGTCACCCTCCGTCTCGCAATGAGCGTTGGGCTGCGTCCATCTCTGCCTCATATCGGTGTGTGCGTGCAATCCTAAGGACTCCCCCTCAACTGCGGGTGCAGGTCGCCATGCAAACGCTCCTGTATGTGCTCCCGCAGCTGGCGGGGGTGCTGTCGTTCGTGGCGGTGGGACTCACCAATCCGCAGGTGCATGAATGGCTAGGCGGGTGGCTGGGTAGTTCGGCAAGTGACGCTGTTCTGTTCGTTGCACTGATGAAGATTAGCACCCGGGGGGGGGACTGGGGGCCAAAGGGACTGCTGTCGATACTATGCCGTTAATGTTACTTTGGTAAGGTAGGAGGGGGGCGCCATCTCCAGGCTATTATATTGAAACGCCGTCCGTGTTCGCGTTGTTTAACCTTGCTGCCACTTCAGAAGTAATCTTACTAATCTACTGCTACCTTTAGTGAGGGTTCAGTCCCTAGTTGTGTGCTTTGCTTTGCTGAGCTGCCTTACTGGCCTATTGCTCGGTTGCCCTTGCAGGCGCTGACGGCTGGCAGAGTGTTCAGCAGTTTGGTGCTGTTCCAAATCATGAGGTTCCCACTGCTCACTCTGTCCACGGGCCTGGTGGAGGTGCGTGCGCATGTGAAGCAGGGCGCTGGCGTTCGTGTGCGGTGTTAAGTGCTGCTGTGTGGGTTTGCTTCTCTGCTGAGAACCGCTGTGTCGCACATGCATGTGAATGTTTGGGGGGGGGGCGGTATGGGCTGCGGCCGCATCAGGCAGTTTGGGAACCAATGTGATGGCCTGTTTAAAGTTGTTGGGCATGCAGTCGGTTATGAGGTTTAGGTGCAAATAAAGGTCTAGTATCTTACATGCCGATCCCACCGGGTAATATTTGCAAACATGTCCCACTGTATGTATGAACCACTATCGGGGTTTTCTTTCATCAAGGCCTAGGGCTTTCCCCCAATGGTTGTATATTGCCTCAAATACTGCTACACTAGGTTCCATGCAAGCTGTTGAGCAAGCCGTTTCTGCAGCGATGTCCATCCCAAGTGCATCTCCCTTTACACGCTCCCTCACCACCTCCCCCGGTCTCTCTGTGGTTCATCAGTTGGGAGCGGCCATCATCTCCGCCCGCCGCATCACATCCTTCATGGCGGCCGAGGAGCAAAGGGACTATGTCACACGCCTCACACAGCCACCCGGAACAACCCCGCTGCCGCCACCAAGTGCTCGGCGCCGCAGTTCCTCTACTTATGAAAAGCGCAACGGGGATTGCCTCACACCTGCATTGCAGCGCGACCTCAGCCTGCACCGCACCAGTGAAGGCGGCATGCCGTCGCTGGCAACTGGAGGCGGCGGTCGGGGTATTAATACATTCGACAATTCTTCGGGTTGTGATGGCAGTGCAAATGAAGCTATTGCTACTCCTGTAGCGGTTGTGGCGGCTACGACTTCTGCTCCTACGAATGCTTTCGCTTCCGGCAGTGGTGGTAATGGCGGCAGCAGCGGCCTCCAGATGTCAGCAATGGCAAGGCTATCTCGGAGCAGCCAGGCCGGACAGCTCCCACTCCAGGGAGTGGAGCCAGGGCTCACCATCCGGGCTGCTGGCTTCAGGTGGGCCCCAATCATGCCCCCGCAGCAGCACCAAGAGGATCAAGAGCGGCTGGGGAAGGACACAGTAGGGGGACCAGCATCAGGTGCTGGCGGAGGTGCAAGTAATGCCCATCAGGGTCGGTCGCTGCTGAGCTTTCGACGATGTGGGAGTAGGAGTAAGCCGCGACCGTTTATGGAGGTGAGGTAGGCCATCCTTATGTCGGGCTGCTTGTTGTTGTTTAAGTGGGGTATATGCGGCTCCCTGCTGAAATAGGGGAACCGAAGGGGTTCCCCTTCGGGAAAACCTCTCATACCGTTTTGGAGGGTTTAGGTTTTGTGGATGGCCACTGCAGGTGGTTGATGCAGTCGGCGAGTCCCTTACAGCTTGTGCTGTAGCGCTACGGAGCCGGCTGACCGGCCGCACACAGACAGGGCGGAGGGATGTGAATATGGAGTGCGTCACCTCCAGCAGTACACTGAGCCACCCCGGCGGCAGTGCAGGCGGCCTGGTGGGCACCACTGCCGTCGGCCTGGTAACTGGAAACATGCCAGGTTTGTCTGTTGGCTGGCGCAAGGAGGCCGACGAGGAAAGGACTGGGCTGCTCCGAGGTGCTGGTCGTGACGGTGAGATGAGCCACACAGTTGGGGCCGGGGAGCCATGCGGGGGCAAGCTGCATGGCGGCGGTGTTTTCCGTCCCGCTCCTTCCGCTGTCTCTGCTTCCGCTGTCTCTGCGATGGACGTTTTGGACTCGGCATCGGACGGGGTTGGCGGCCATGGTGCCAGTGGTGGAGCAGAGCCCAATAGTGGGCCTGGTGGTGTCAGTGGCGTGGAAAGTCCCGCTGGTGTAGTCGACCCGGTGGACTCATCATCGACATCGTCATCCTTCTCCCCTGCCTCTGGAGGCAACGGCTTTGCACTGGGCCAGGTGGACCTGAGGGTGAGGAGCGCATGTGTGTGTGCGTATGGGTGTGGGTGGGTGCTGCCTGAATTGGGTTAAAAGCAACGTCAGGGGCCAGCAATCAGTAAACCTGATTTACATAAATTAACAGTCCAGATGAACGATATCTCGATATACATGCTTTAAATGCCAATGCGCGGAACTTTCTTACGGGTTCTCAGCTCTCTTCGATGAAATGCCTAGTAATTGGCGCCCTGTCCCGCCACTGATACCTACCTACCTGGCGCTCATCTGACGGTCCTGCTTATGAGCTCCGTTAGGGGCACGTGGTCATCCTTCCCTCCATGGTTGACTGTCTTAGTGGGGTTGCAATGGTCGAATATGCACATGCACACACATGCATGGGCCCCAAAAATCCCCCTTCCTAGTCTTGTCTGATTTTTACCTTTATCCACTCCCTTATCCACTCCCTTCATCCGCTGCACCCCACCCCCAGGTTCGCCCTGGCGAGCTGGTGTGTGTTGTGGGGCGGGTGGGCAGCGGCAAGAGCTCACTGCTGTCCGCTGCACTGGGGGAGATGGAGCTGGTAGAGGAGCTGGACCAGGAGCGGGGGGACGTGGTGGGGCTAGGGGGCCGAGTGGCGTACGTCGCACAACAGGTGGGGGTGTTGGGGGTGTTTATGGACGTATGTTGAAATGAGGAAGGCATTTATATGTACCGGTAGCTGTATCCTAGATTTGACAGGCGGTGTCAACTGTTATACCTTCACTTGATGTTATTGGACACAGCCTGTCTGCGCATTCTGTTGTGATGTATGCTCCGTACCAGTAACCTACATTTGAACCAAGACCTATGCCATTCTGACCCACCAACGTCATGCTGGCCTTCATACGTACGAACCATCCGGGGTGCTGTGGCGGCTTGAACCGCTCGTTGCAGGCGTGGATCGTGAACGCCACGGTGGTGGAGAATGTGACCATGGGCAAGCCGTTTGATGAGGAAAAGTGGGCACGGTGTGTAGAGGTACGGGAAGATACGTACGATGGATCAACAGCATGCACATTTTTAGGAAGTAGATACCCGGGGGGAAATGCCCCAGTGTACAGCAGTTACCTCTTCAAGGCCACCCGCCTCCGGTCAGCATACGGTTATTGTTTAGTTACAAATATTTCGTCCATAGACATTGCCTCTTAAACTATTAATGCGGCTCGCGTGACGCTAAATTTAGTGATGCACCGTTTGCCCTTAACACGTGTGCACAGGCATCTGCTCTGGGCCCCGACCTGGAGCTTCTGCCTGCGGGTCGTGACACGGAGATTGGGGAGAAGGGGGTCAACCTAAGTGGAGGACAGAAGCAACGGCTTTCGCTGGCTCGGGCCATGTATCAGGTAACAGGGACAGCATGTCTGCCATCAGCTCTGCGAGTTATGCATGCGACCTTGCTTGCTAAAACACAATGTGGGCATTGTGTGTGTCTGTGAGGCCGGGTGAGGAGTCTTGGAGGACCCCGACCTGGGGGCATTGCTCGCCGCTTTCTTCATGAACCGGATAGCTGGGAATGAGGATCACAGCGGGGCTGCTGGCGGGCTAGTGGGACTGGTAGTCGATGTGTCCTGGAATGGATGCACTCTGGACCGACTGGATGCAGCTGGTGTCCAGCAGGCTCTTCAAGTGCAAACAGACTGCTGTTCAGAGGGCCACCCAAGAATGTGCAACTGTGCATTTGGCGTGCATACATGCAGGAAGCGGACATTTACCTGTTGGACGACCCCCTCAGCGCTGTGGATGTGCATGTGGGCGGCCACATTTTCAAGCATATGATCCGAGGAGCGCAGGCGGGCGCTGCTGTGCTGCTAGTGGGTGAATCAGCAAATTGTAGCATGCTGTCTATGGTGTGACGGAGCATATGTATTGCAGATTTGCCACCTAGGATAATGTTTTACTAGCTGCAGCAACTAGCACACCCACCAGGGATGCATGTCATTAAGGTTTAAGTGAGTGGTGTACGGCTGGTAGGTATTCCAGTACGGTGTGCAGTCGGGGTGCTCGGGAGTGGTCGTGCAGCCGCATGTGGAGAAGAGCATTTCGGCTATTTGCATGTTTGGGGCGGTCATGTTAGGCATGCTTGGTAATTCTGATGTAACTGTCTAGTAAGTGCTTTTACCATCTGTGTTGCAATGCAATCGGCCCTTTCCAACTTACGCGAGTGAGAGCTGTTGTATGCTGTTGCTCCACCGTTGTGCATGCCGCTTCCTCAGGTCACCAACGGGGTGCAGTATCTGCCCCCGGCTGACAGCATCGTGCTGATGGATGCTGGGGAGATTGTCATGCAGGTCTGTTCTAACCCTGTGGGTTTGCTGTCACTTCTTGCATACCCACACTTAGGACATCTACCTGCCTCCACAACTACACTACACTACACAATTAGGATCAGAAATGGCCCGCATGCATACGCCCGCACGAGGCGTGATAAGCTCCGCTGCAGCACCTGCTATGTATGACGTTTATATTCCATTATCCGGTGGACAAAGGGAGCGCTTGGCTGTTTGGTCGTTGCAATGTTTCGATAACGCTCTGGGTGCACTACCTGCCCTGTGTGCATGGATTGTGTCGTTAGCGGGTTCCCTATATGTAAAATATGTCGGGGGCCGTCTGCTTGCAGGGTACCTACCAACAGTGTATGGGGGAACCTGCTTTCCGTTCCTTGCTCGAGGAGTTTCGGACTGAGCAGCAGCAGCCCCAACAGGGGGAGGTTCAGGGTGAAGGTCGGCAGCAGGAGGAGCAACAACAAGACCCAGGTGAGGAAGAGCTAGCCGCACATTAGAGCTTCTTGCGGAAATCCCTGAGTTGTTGCTTCTGAATTCTGCCGAGGCGTTGCAATGCACCCAAAAGCGTAACAGGTGGCAGAGCGAGCCACCTGGGTCAGCAGCATTGTGAATGACGTAAAGAGGGCTGGCTGCCCGTGACTCTAGGGCATGGCCAATTGCAGTGTATCATGTATAAACGCAATATGCGAGCAGGATGACGGGTGGTTGTGTAGCATTGCAAGCAATGTCAACTTCACGGCTTCTGCTGCTGCAGACGTGTTTGCTGGAGCCAACAGGTGTTCATCAGTGCTGGTCGTGTCATCTGGGCCTGACATGGGGAGGGTGCAGCCAAGGGGAATTAACCGGACAGAAGCTGGACCACAGGCAGGCTCAGTTGCCGAGAGTGGAGGTAGCGATCACCAGCCGAAAAGCAAGCAAGGCCACCCGCAGGACCCGCACCATGACGGACAGCAATGTAAAGAGGGACTTCAATATTCGCCCACCGGTATATCTTACAGCATGTCCACTGCGGCTTACAATGCCCGCCGGACAAGCGTGGAGCAATCGCAACGGCAGTGGCATGGCAACTATTTAACATCTCATATGGCAGATTTTGACGAGGGCAATGAGATGATGGATTCACTTCTACGGATGAGTGTGGATGGCGGCAGGGAGAGCGATAGCGAATCCAGTTGTAATGGTGACGGCATCAAGGCCCATAGCGGGGCAGGTGCAGTAGCAGCACTGGTGGATCACGGCACGGGTGCCGGGGTCGGCAGTGGAGGTGGAGCCAATGGGGTCGATCGGCCCGAGGAGTCCCGCCCGTTACTGTCCACCTGCCAGACGGTGTGCTCTTCCAACTCCACGACACGGGACACTACTGATGCTGGTGCTTGCTGCAGTGACGCCACCGTCCTCAGGCATGGAGACAACATTGCCGCAGGCCAGGGCATGCCAGCAGGCTGCTTGAAGGCAGGTTCACCATCACCGTCGCCTCGTTTACCACCGGCCGTGATCTCTCAGCATGGCGCCACTGCTGCCACCGCGAAAGGCCGCATCACGGTGGTCGAGGACCGCGAATTGGGGCAGGTGGGCGATGATATGCATGACAGGTCAAGCAAGAGTTAATAGAGTCGTTGGATGCCTGTGCTCCGTAATCCGCAAGTTACATTTAGCAGTTGTGGCCACATACATGCATGCTGTGGGTCTGTGGGCACTATTGGTGCGCTGTGATCGTTGTTGTAGTCCAGTCCGGAGTGGGTTGGAAGCGCAGTTTGGGTCGATTTCACTATGGACAAGGCTTTAAATATATACGAGGGGATTATACGAGAGGATTTCCTTGCAAAATGAGTAAGTTGGGAGGGAGAGAAAATGGATCCGCAAACCCGATGCCGAACATGGCACAAGGAAATTTCCAGCTTACTCATTTTGCAAGGAACCCCCCTCGTATATATCCTTTGGATAATAGTTGTACTTATAAATAGCCTGCAGCCTGGGTAAACCAATGTGCAACCTCACTGCTCAGCCATTCCTTAAGATTCTCTCTCAACTATGTGCTCGGCTCACAGGTCAAATGGAAGGTTTACGGTGCCTATTTGCGCGCCTTCCACGTGGCTGCTGCTGTTGCAATCCTACTGTTCTGGTCGGCAGAGCAGGTACAGGCATGTAGGGTGGTGCTGGGCTGGAAGGGGCAGCACAAGGCAAGCGAGGAACGCACTATCCTGATCATGTGCTCGTGGCAAATGTACTGTTTAGCTTTTGGGTGCTGATGTATATGAAGATGCGGATGGATGGAGGAGGTTTCAGTCGGACATATTGGCAGCTGAAAATATGCTCAAAATAGGTTATATTACATGCATCTGTAATCTTTGAGCTGTAGACCCTCCTTTTCATGCATCCTGTCAATCAAGTGGTGGACCGTGCGCAGGGGACCCGCCTTGCAACCAATGCCTGGCTAGCTCACTGGAGCCGTGACCAGCAGCAGCAGCAGCAGCAGAGTGCTCTCAGCGCCCCGGGCAAGGGGGGTCCCGGCTTCAGCCGTTTTGCAGGCGTGTACCTCCTGCTTGGAGCGGCTTATGCATTTGCAACGTTTTGCCGTTCGACTACCAACAATCTGGGGTAAGATTGTGCATAAATATAGAGGCTAACACTGCTTGGGCTCAGTGAACAGGTGGCAACAGTTACAGTGAAAGTGTCCGCACAAGTGTGGAGGGGTCCGTCAAAGCCGGGGGGCCCCATGGACCGTTCATGAAGGTTACTGTTATGGTGTCGGGGGCGACTGTCATCATCATCCCGCCCCGTTTGGGCGCAAAGCACTGGAGTGCTGCGTGCCTAGCTGGTCTCCCGGACCTCGGAAATAAAGCTAATGCCAGCGGGGGAGCCTCTGTCATGATGGTGCGCATGCTACGCCCTTGAAACCCGAGTTTACTCCCATACTTCGCCCTCAAGCCATCATAAGCAGGGCGTTCCCGAAACACATGTGATCATCTTCCACCGCTCTGCAGTCACAAAGCCTGCAAGCACGTGCGGCACGCTCACGGTCGCGGGCCTAATAGCCTCTAGTTCTTAACATCCCAAACTAAAGGGCACAAAGACCTGGCGCAATCGCTACTAGTAGGGGAGGGCGGTCCCCGCGTGAGCAAGCCACCCAGGGCGCGCTCCCTCAGGGCGGTGCCCCCATATAAGTTTATGTGTACACAACATGTGCTATCCCAGATGTATTATCTCCAAACACTGCTATGAATATTCGGGCTACATACTGCAGTTATAGTTTACTTCTCATGTGGATGCATGGCGGTTGCCAGAGCAGCTCTTTCCCCACCTTAGAAGTGTGTGGAATCAAGGTGTACATGTACTGGTGTTTCTCATTACCGGCACACACAGATGCCGCCGGGTGTGTTGCCGCGCTCTCCCCGCCAGGTCCTACCGTGCCAGCAAGATCCTGCACGCGCAAACCCTGACGGCCCTCATGGCGGCGCCTTTATCGTTCTTTGAAGCCACTCCCGTAGGAAGGTATGGACGCACAGAGACATGTACCTACCTGTTAATGTAGCTCCTAGCATCTGTTCGATGAACTTAAATCAACAGCCATGCGTTCTGTCGCATGTGGCTGCCAATCAGAAGTACATGTTGCATGTGCTTTTAGGACGTCTCCCTACCTGCTCGGGCCTGCTGCCACCATAATTGCTTATGCCCTATATCAGCATTCGTAACTTAGATCAGCACAGGCGCTAATGGGGCCATGTACTGCGGCCACGGGCACCTATCTGTCCTCGTTTGATGTATACATATGTTCGTGTGTAACTACAGGATCCTCAATCGTCTCAGCCGAGATGTGGACGAGATGGACTACAACCTGGCTATGTACCAGCAACAGCTGTAAGTCTAGTGAAGTTCATGTTGAGGTGGTTCACGGGTGACACTTCATTAGTGCCCATAAGTTAATAGTGGCATAGATGTTTACATGTTGATTTGTTCAACTTTTACATCGTCACGCCACGGAATTCTCTCAAACCTCTGCAGGGGCAACTGCGTCATGCGCTTGCTGGCCACAATCCTATTCCTGTGCATCCTGCAACCAGCATTTGTGGGTGAGTGACAGGGGCACCGAGTACAATTAAAGTCACCGATGGATAGGGGTTTTGCGATATTCAACAGATACAATTTATGCAACAGGATTTGTATCCGCTGTAGCATTTATGCAGATAGAGATATGCTGCAGTACTACATCTAGTGGCTACTAAACCCGGGTTTAGTAGCCCATGGGCCCATGGGTGACGGTCATGAGTAGATGGCAGTTACCAGAACATGCCGGGGTGACACCTGCCGTAAGCTTGCGTGTGAGCATGCACCTAACTACGTATGAAGGTATGCTCCCTGCAGGGAGCTTGGTGACGATCTTTATTTACCTCGCCATTGTGGGTATTGATTTATCCAACGCAAGCATCTAACTACTGCTGTCATCGCTGCAACTAATTTACCTTAATGGCTCTTCCTGTGTAATAGTGTCGCTGACGGACGGTAGCGAATTGAAACGGCTTGTTGTGGTGGCGGTGGTGGCGGTTGTGGTGGTTGTGGTTGTGGTTGTGGTTGTGGTTGTGGTTGTGGTTGTGGTGGGCAATGTCTGTTGTTACTTATGAATGTCGGTTCTTCTTCAGAGATCTATCAGCATAGCTAGCTCCATGTACACCAAGCTCCAAGACGTTAAGAAGAGTTCCATACATGCATTTCAATTTCAGCCGTGAGGTAATTTTCTCGGTGAAAGTCGTGAAATACAATCTTTGGTTCTGCCCCAGGTGTGGTGGTACCCTTGACGGTTATTTACTTCATTCTCCAGAAGTACTTCAGGTATGCTGTACACGGGATGCAGGACAAATACTCATGCTACAGGGACTAGCCGACAGCAGCAGCAGCAGGTGGAGGTTTGGCTGGCCATGGGTGACGGGATTTTAGAGCTGCCAAACCAACACGTGCCCAAGTTCGCCCTTGAAACCGAGGATGACTATTGCTAATACATTAGCAACAGTCTGTCTGACGTATGTCTGTCCAAGTGTCATTTCCGCCAGGGTTCATGCCTTGATCTGATCGAGATTTGCAGATCTTACACTCATCCTCAACCAACCCAACGATCACCCAACTGCAACCTGTTTCTACACAGGCGGTCTTCTATTGAGCTCCAGCGCATTGACTCGGTGACCCGTTCGCCTGTGTATGCCAACTTTGCGGAAACTATGGCTGGACTTGACACGCTCCGGGCATATCGTATGCAAGAACGGTAAGGACGATTGTTAGAAGCAGCGGGGGTAGGACAGTAATTGTGCAGGATGGAGTGCCAAGGAATTTATTCAAATGGGACTAGCATGCCAACATCCATGCACTCCCCCCTTGCATATTATCTGTGCAAGACCTCCCGTTGACGCATAAAGTGCAAAATAAGGGCTGCGATGATGAGTTACTGCTGATTCGTTTAAGTTTTTCCTTTCTTTGATGTTTTCGGTCCTTGAAGGTTCAAGGCGCGACATGAAGCCATGGTGGACACCAATGCCACAGCCTACTACAACGCAAGAGTGGCAGACGAGTGGCTCAGCCTGAGGTGCGTTAGTTTTGCTTGGCGATGTATGTATCTACAAATCACCCCGGATGGCCCCGACTGGCCATCAGTAATCAACACATCAAACGGATGTTGTGTGTGTACCTGTCATGAGGTTGGTTAGGGTTTTAAGGTTCCGGACTGCCATAGGGCCACCAGCAGTCGAAGTTAGTCTTCTGCTGGATTCTCACGCCGGTAGGCACATTACAAGTTACAAGTTACAAGTTACAAGTTCCGCACACAAGTGCGGGTGTGTCCGTAAAAGCCGGGGGGGCCATGGACGTTGTATTGGTATTGATGCGGGTACGCGGGAGGTCATCTTCATTCTCCCTCGTCCGCTTCAGGGCGAAGCGCCTCAGCGCGACGTGCCTGGCCTCCCAGATTTCCGAGAGGTACCTGGCCAATGCCAGGGGTGGCGCCTCAGTCATAGTGGTGCGCATGCTGCGCCCCGTAAGGACTAGGTCACCATCATACTTAGTCCGTATGCTCTTGTAAGCGGGACATTCTTCGAAAACATGCAACTCATCTTCAACCGCTCCACAGTCACAAAGCCTGCAGGTACGTGCGGTGCGCTCACGCCCATTAGGCCTATTAACCTCTAACTCCCAACAGCCTAACCGAAAACGCATGAGCACATGATGAAGTCGCTGGGGCATGGTCCCTTTAGTGTGCTCCAACCAATCAAGACGCGCACCCCTTGATGGGGCAGCTCCCATCCAGTTCATATAGCGACACGCCTTGGCTCCGGTAATTCCTATGGGGAAGACGCGGGGGTCACCCAAGGTATTCGGGCACTCCCACCGAGCATCAAGCCGCTTGGCAAAATCCTTAAGAATGCTCTCGACTGGCAATTTAAGGGTGGTGTAGTACGATATAAGATCATTACCGCGCGTATTAGTGGGGGTTTCCACTCCTAAGCTAGTAAGAAAGGCTAGTACCTTGCTTGCCCAACACTCAGTGGCGCCCCCAAGTACAGTATAGCTAGCTGCCGCGTCTGGTGGATCGCTCATCTTTCTCAGCATCTGTCCGCACCGGTAACTGTTGGTGTCCCAACCCAACCCAACCCACCCTGTTCCCCCCAGACTTGACCTCATCGGCTCCATCATAGTATTATCTGTTGCAGCGCTAAATGTGGGGCTACAATCAATTAGCTCCATCTCTCCGGCACTAGTGGCGCTGGCGCTTGCTGAGGCAATTGATCTTACATCATTCTTGAATTATGCCGTCAAGGTGCGTGAGCTCCGGGCTGGTGCATTTGCATCCTACACCTCCAACATGCGGGTTGCGTGACATATCCTTGTACCTATTATTACTTAAATTACCATTTTTGATTGAGACTATATTCTGGTGACCTTCCAGCCAAAACTCGCGCAAAATGCACTAGTGTTGTTCTAGTGCATCTCAGCAAATGGCCTGTTGACCCACCAATGTAAACCTGACATCGCTCATCAATGTAGACCTGACACTTCTCAGTATGCATGTTCGGGTTTATGGGTGCAGACGCTGTTGTGTACTCGGAACTCCCAGATATGGCCATATGGGCTACTATTCAGATTCTCTCGAGGGGCAGAAGGAAAGCAAGCGAAGACAGTGATGCTGTCAGCTCCCCCAGCTCTTGGATGTGTGCGGCCAGCCGTTAGTATAGAGGCTTGCGTGTACTATACTTGTCTCACCTCGCGGCAACGAGCACAGGATCTTAATGGCGCCATGTAATTGAGGCCATTAATGCATGGATGTTACATGGATGGTACCATCCGCGGGTGCTGCCTGCTCCAGCGCTTCCATGTAGGTCAGGAAATCCCTGAACTGCATAAGGCTCACACAACGGCAATAGTTGAACACAAGAAATGGGCAAGGAAGGTTGTGGCGCTTGTAATGAGTTGTACGGATGGCGCATGATGGGGGATTACAGTTGCTATCTTGCATAGCTATGTAAGGCACACATAGAGATGCTGCTGAGTCTTGTGAGAGTGTATGGGCAAGGTTGTATGGTCGAACCTGAGTTACCTGGCCAGAACTAAGCTTTCCATCCATGCTACCTGTGTTGTCCTGCTAGCCTCAGGTTGGTTGCAAAGTAAATGTCTGTCCATGCATCATATATAATTCCCAAGTTCTTTGCAAGTCCAGGACTATTCATGGTCTGGAAATTGCCGTAACGAAGCCGTTCACTTCGCAGTATGGTACAAGGCACCTCAACAATGAGCGAGCCTGCTCCTTACCTGCTGTCTGTATAACAGGTTTCAGCATTAGTAGAGAGCCGTTACAACGCTGTGGAAAGGTTACTGACCTACGCGCGACTTGAGCCAGAGGAGGCAGTGCAAGCTGGGGCGGCAAAACACTCCCCATACCGGCCCCCCGGGCTGCCACCCTGGCCAGCAACTGGTGAGCTGGAGTTTCGTGATATCTGGATGTCGTACCGACCAAGCCTCGACCCTGTGCTGCAGGGTGTAACATTTAAGGTATGGAAAATAACTCCCACAAAGATGTACGGCTTCAGCAGCGACTAGGATCATACGAAGATATCAGGGAATTTAGATCACGACTACAACTGCCATAGAAAAGTACCGATCGGCGGATGCAGATCCCATGATATGGCCAGGACTAGCAGGGGACGAGCAGAATGGGAGATTTGTGAATTGCAAATACGACTGCGTTATGTCGATGTACTTTCCTGTTGCTTGTTAAAACGTATTGTTAAGAAGTGAGTATATTGGCGCCATACGTGGAAACCAGTTGACTATTGGTTGCAAATGTTCGTAGGTCTACGATGGCCAAAAGGTGGGAATTGTCGGTCGTACAGGAAGCGGAAAGAGCTCCCTCATTGTGGCATTATTCAGGTAGGTGGTTGGGTAGGTTCTATCGGGTATGGCTGAAGACACAGCTGTAAGATCAAAGGGTCCCTGCTGGATGGAAGGACTGGATTAGGATGGGGGAAAATACTGCCAAGCTGCAGCTTAATTGCTCGGTAATGCACCTCTCCTGCCTCTGGCTTTGGTGGATCAGGCTGTAGCCCTGCTGGAGGGTGACCCTTTCCGTGTTTTGCAGCTTGACTGTCCATCTCTAAATTTTGTGGTCACCTATACATTGCCCCTTGGTATATTAGATAGGGGCCATCACTTTTTATTCTCTTTGTATGATTCGGAAAGGTTGTGTATTCGGGAATTATTACTTGGGCTCGTAGTGTGTGTTGTGTTCGTGCACACACGTGGGAAGCCGCCGGCTGCATGATATGGTCAGCCAGCATACAGCTCATGCAGGCTTTCTGTCGGGTTTCAGGCGAAACAGGCTTTGAAGGATGTTATGGCAGTTGAAGTTGGCAAACTTTATCCACGGCATCTGAAGAGGGTCTGGTGATTCTGGGAGTGTCAAGGTTTGACATCCGCAGATTGTGCATTTTCTTAGCCTTTGTCGGTATCGAGACCCTGTCCCGCCCCGGGTTCGAATTAAGCATGTTGCAGTTCTGAGCGGGAAGTGACTGGCCTTGTGGCCGCCGCTGAGACGGGCTAGGTTGAGGATGCCCTCAGCTGGAAGGGGAAGCGTGTTAACACGCCCAGGATACAACGTTGTATCCTGGGCATATCACGGGATTCTGACATCTGCTGATCGGTGCATTTTCTGTAGCCGTGATACAACAGTCTCTAGTAGAGGTACACTGTTATGATATAACAGTTCCGTTTGTTCACCATAATATTGGTGTGGTCGAATAATAGTTTTTCCTTTATGTGTTTTGTAATAGTTGTTTGGCTGGCCAGGCCTTGGGCCCCCGGTGTGTTTACGCCTATTACACTTTGGGGTTAGCTAGCACAACGCAAGGTGTACCACATGCACATAATCGCTGTGATAATGTTGGGCCTCCCTTGTCGTTTCCTTCCGTTCACCTGCCCTTACTCAGCGGCTGCCAGGCCTACTCAGTTGATGTTTTGTTGCTTGCACATGACTTCCATCTCTACAAAAAGGGACCTCCTGCAGGCAAGCGTGGTCCAACCTATCCTTGCGTGTGCATATATGTGCAGGCAGGTGCACAAACCCTTCCTGCTTGCTTGACCCATGAATGAATGTATCAATTTTGGTCCTGCATATTTTGGTGCTGCCTGCTGCCTTGTTGTATTTTGTCAGATTAGTGGAGCCCCAGCGAGGGCAGATGCTGCTTGATGGTGTAGATCTGCGGACCCTAGGTGAGCTCAGGTTCATAGGTCAGTGGGAATATGTTATTTCCTTCCAAATCAGAACAGGACTCGCGGGCTGACAATGGCACAGGCCGGCATCTGGTAGGATATATACCCAGGATACGACAGGCAGGATAAGAGATCATCATTACGACTACTCTCCTCAATGGCAACGATTAGACCCCATCTGCAACCACGCACTTCAATGCCTATGACGCATTAATTGCACATAGCTTGCCCAAACAGAAAGGAGAAAACAGAAAGGAGAAAAGTTTAAATAGAAGGCATATGTCTATTTTTTCGATAGTCTTGGTTTCTAGAAACATCGATACACAGATGTGTGTATGAATGCCAGCAGGCAGGTATGTATGCCGGTATGAGATGTAATAATTGAAACCTTACCAGGGGTGTTCCATACTTTCAGGCTTGTTTGTAGGGAAGGGCATGCACCTCGTACAGTGTAGGTGTTGCATCCATCCATGGATGGCCATGTTCATCTGATCAAGATTCTGGCCAAGCTACCGTGGAAGACATGCAACAAAAGTTGAAGCACAGATTAACGCATACTGCAATAGTTCATGACTGGCATGTGTGGGTCATATCAAGTAGAGCCATGTTGCTGTCAATAGTATGTAGTTGCAAACACACACATCTCATGATCATCGCATGTGAGCACACATAATATTAAATACCCAATGTCTCCTACATGTGTGTTGCATCAGCTCCATTTCAGAGATAAATACTCGCGTGTACCGTATTTATATACGTGTGCATGCCCCCCACCTTGCCCGCTTCCTGAATAGGTCTGGGAGCTGCACGCTCGGCCCTCTCTGCCATCCCTCAGGTAGGTGGGGCATGTAAACATAGTGGTGTATCCTTTGCTAGCTCGGCGCTTGACTTCGTTGAAAATGTTGGTTAATGGGAACACACAGTATAGCGAAGAGGGGATATGGGCAAGGATGAGGAATGAGGTCCGATGCAGGGTCACGGATTTGGGTTGCCAAGACATGACCTCCTCACTTTGTGCTCCATGACTGCATTTGCGGGACTGGACTCGCCCACATCAGGAGATGCAGGACGTCCTGGAATTCTGTGATACCCTGTTGCCTTTTCTTTCCACATCAGTGCATATTTTCATTTCATGAATTGTGTATCACATACTGCCAGACACACATGGGTCCAACCTCACGGTGTGGTGCAGTGTGGTGCAATACTGTCCAATCCAGCGGCCTGCAGCATGTGGGGAATGGGTTTAGCTTGCATTACCAGGATTCAGCTGGCCATGGTGGACGGGCTGGGTCAAGAGGCACATTATATTGTTAATTCTTTAGCTATCATAGCGAAAGAAAAAACAGTAAAAATTTCAGTCACCTAAATATTTTGATCACCTGTAGGCGACATTCTCGTTTAATAGGTGAGGATGGTCGAGAATGTCGCCTATAGGTGATCAAACGTTTTACCGATCATGATGATCAGTACCTACGTAGGTACTGATCATCATGATCAGTATAAATTAATGGGACGTGTATACACGTCCCATATAACAATAACTACTTACTAGCAGTGGATTACCAAGCCATCAAGCCTGCTGAAAGTCAATCCCTATCTGTGCGATTAGTTCGTCCTTCATTTATAGTGGATGTCGTTTTGCAGGAACCTGTGCTTTTCTCTGGGAGTGTACGGTCAAACCTTGACCCATGGAACCGCCACTCTGACCCTGAGCTCTGGGCAGCCTTGGAAGTGGTTGCACTCCGTGAGCACATTCGGGCTATGGGTAAGTCATACTAGCCTAGCTCCTTTATTTATTATTGTTGGCATTATACCATATATGTATATACTGCCACAATTCTTCTGCGATACACTGTTTTGTGAGGACCTGGAAATGATGGCTGGAATCACATTATTAAACTTTTGCCACAGTCATCATAAGTTTTTGCAGTTACCTTTCACATTACTTGGTGATGCTTAAAAGCCCTGCTGTGAGTTGCCCAGCGGCTTGAAGTCAGCCCATTAATGTCAATACCGGGAAAGGCAGGTCTGCCGGGTAGCGACCGCACGGTGAAGGTATGACCCCCCCTGTCCCACACATCATGCATGCAGGTGGTTTGTCTGCAGTGGTCATGGAGGGCGGTGGCAATTTTAGTGTGGGACAGCGGCAGCTGGTCTGTGTGGCCAGGGCATTGCTGCGGCAGCCAAGGTGGGTTAGGTGTGCATAGCATATGTTCCAGGCATGAAGATGGCGACGTACAAGCACGTACAGGATGGGGTTGCCAGGCGAGAAGGTACCCAGGGCAAGCTGCTTGCCACACCAATATCTTTTATTGTAGCAGCTGGCCGCTGAAAAGGCCTTAAGGTGCTGGTGGAGTGCCCTATATATGTGTATTTGCCAGCTAGTGTGTCTTTATAGAAGATATGCATGTGTGAAGTACTATGTACCAGCTGCTACATTCCTTTCCTTTTGAAGAGGCCCTTATGGCCACACCGGCCTCTGCTTACCGTCGCCTACCCTCAATCCATGTCATTGCATGTGCCGCCTCACATGCACCTAACAGTCTTATGGTTTTCAGACAGGGTCTTCCTGTAACACCAGGCAAAGAGTACTCAGGGAGATGCCAAGGGAGCTGAACCCTTCTTACACTTAAGTATTGACTGGGAAGCTTCCCAGTCAATAACTAACACTGCTACAACTATGTCATGATCAGCATGGTCGACCTGGTTGTCAGATATAGAATGTAGTATGTATGTTGTTACAGGGTGGTTAACTTCGCCAGCGGCCCCCTTTCCCGGGGCAGTCCCTGCTCTCCCCTGCTAGAGGGGCACCCTAATCCGTCACCCCATCCGACTTCAGAATGTATTCGTTGAGTTCGGCAACTCACCACCAGCATCCAACCAAATCTAGCGGATCAACGGCGCATCAACTTAGTTCCTGGTCAGCTCGCAAGTTGATATTATCACGTCCTACACCGTCCATAAGATGGGGGGCCACCTCCCATTTCATCACTCCTCAAACACCCGAGGAGCCGGCAGGCGGATTTGAACCCGGGTCGACTGGGTCAACTGGGAGCAGAAGTCAGGCCTTAACCTCTGCCAGCCGCCTGCCTTGTACCCTAAACCCTGTAGTATATTGGGGTCGAATTGACTACTGTACATTGGCTACTTCAGGATTGCAAGCATGTGCGAGGCCTCAATACCAATTGTGTAGCTGGCCGCTGAAAAGGCCTGTCGAAATGCCGGTGGGCGCGCTTAGCGCGTATTAGTAGTTGTTATGTGTGCCGTACAGTGTACCGGCTACTACATTCTCCCCCCTTTGAAGGGATCCGTCTCGGGCCCTTACGGCCACGTATACCACCAGCCTGTGCCTACCTTTGCCTACCCTCGGGGAGTGGGTGACCAATCCACGTCACGTCATGTGCCCCGTTCACATGTGCCTAGCCGTCTTAAGGTCTTTCAGGCATCAGAGACAGTCCAATCGACCACAGCTACATTTAGACACGGTTATCATGTAATTAGTCGATTTCCACCAAACGTGATTGGTGGGTCGAACCGACAAGTTTAGAATCGTACTCTTATCCAATGTTATGAAAACTGCTTATGTGACAATTTATTTTTCTAATTTACAACTGCTCAGGCTACTGGTTGCTGATGAGGCCACAGCAAGTGTAGATCCGGAGACAGACGCCCTCATCCAGCGAGCCATCAGGACACACTTCCAGGTTAGTGGACTGGGATAGATTGGTCGAATTGCTCACTTGCCCGAGGACTAACCGTTGCCAAATATGTGATGGATGAATGATGAGCTGGAGCTACACTGCTGCCCTGTGAATGTGTTGCAACCGCTCGGCTGTGAATTACAGCTGTATGTGCCATCCTTAATGATGGTAAAACTAACCTAAAAAATAGGCAGGACTAGGTGGACCAATTGGTTATCACGGATGGCTACTCCAGACCAACTGACTTATTTAAGCCAAATTGATGTTTGGGCTTTTATGTCTTGACTCGTACAGGCCTCGACCGTCCTTGCAATTGCACATCGCCTCAACACCATCCTGGACTCGGATGTTGTGCTCCTCATGAATGCGGGCCGAGTGGCAGAGTTTGGATCTGTTCAAGCCCTAATGGAGACCCCTGGATCTGGTTTTGCTGTCATGGTCCAGGAGTCTGGCTTCCAGTGTTGCACTGCTAACACATAGCTATAGATTGATGGGCTATAACTGTATGTGATGCAACCTGAAGTTTACATTCATCAAGGGGGCTTATAGTATGTGAAAAGGACTTTGGCTATAACAAGACGAATATGATTTTGAGCTCTATGGCAGGCATTATGGCGATCTATGTATTACACTGACCTAGACACCTTGCCAGTAGGCAGTTATTGAGTGTGTGTTGTGCATTTGTTATGGCCATTTATTCCGGATGTCAATGGGTGGTGTAGCCATGTGGCATGAAAAGGGTTATGGCAACCCAGGCTACATACTGGCACCCAGGCTGCATGCACCCCAGCACGCTAGGCCACATCCCAGTGCTGTATGCTGCACCCCAGCTGTAGTAGCTGGCCACTGAAAAGGCCTCTCGAGATGCTAATTATCGCGCTTAGCGCGTATTTGTAGTTGTTATGTGTGTCGTACAGTGTACCGTACAGTGTACTACATCCCCCCCCTTTGGAGGGATGCGCCTCGGGCCCTTACGGCCGTTAATTCCAGCCGGAATACCCTCGCCTACCCGCGGGCAGTGGGTGACCAATCCACGTCACGCCATGTGCCCCGTTCACATGTGCCTAGCCGTCTTAAGGTCTTTCAGGCACAGGACATTCCAGTCGGTTAAGCTACTTTATAAAGTAGCTTAACCGACATAATTACGTCGCGGTAATCGTAAATGAATTAAGTCACCAAACCCGATAATCCACCAAGAGTGATGGGTGGGGGTTGAACATGCACACATGTCACGACTGTGGAGATTGCATCCTGAAATAACTAAAAAGTACGTATCCGGGTTTGCCTGAGCATTTGATGCATTCCTGCACATTTCCACAGCAGTGTTTTGTGGTTAATTCCTTGCCGGGTCTCCATCGAAGGTGTTTGGGGAATATAGTCTTTCTGTCCATTCATGGCCAAGTGTGCATTTAACCTCGTAATGTCTGATACATGTGGTCACGTGCCTGTACCTGCCAGGTGTCATGTGTAGTGTTTTCCTGATATGTCCCCCAAGCTTTACACCCTCCCCTAGGTTGCCATGGCCAACCCCCTGGCATGCTGCTGCTGCAACAGGGCATGTATGGTGTGCCCTTCCTGAAAAGATGGGAGAACAGTGCCGGGATGACAGCTGAGTTTTGAGAATAGAAGGCCTGGACCAACCTACTGGGTTTGCTTTCCACACCTTGGGTATAAGGGTTTATAACAGAGAAGCTGGTTAATAAGGAGTGTAGAGGGTTAGGAGTGGGCACCAGCAGCCAGGGTTGTTATGTGGGCTGCAGGGTGTGTGCAGCAGCAACAACACAACACATGCATTATGATGGAAAAAATCCAATCCCCAATACCCCAACCCTCCCTACCCGCCAAACTCTCAAACTCTTTTCCCTAAACCCCAAAACCCTCCAACCCTGCCAACCCTCCGACCCTCATATCCCAATAACCCAACCCTCCCAACCCCAACCCAACCTTCCCTACCCGACACACCCCGCCAATCCCAATGCCCCGACCCTCCCAACCTTGATACCCCAACCCTCCCTACCCCTCATATCCCGCCAACCCCAATACCCCGAACCTACCCGCCAAACTCTCCAACTCTTTTACCCTCTAACGGACCATCTAATCCTCTAACAGCTCCTTCCAAACATAACCTACCCTGAAGCCCTGACCCCAAAAGCCTTTCCCCTCCTGATGCCTGGCCCTCAGACGGACGGGAAAACACCCCTCCTGTGTGACCATAAACCTTCACTCAGTCAAATTCCAGGACTCATGGCCCTTTGGACCACATTACCGGGCTGGACATGTTTTCATTATGAACCCTATCTTTTCATCCATGTTCTGCTACCCAAACCATGCGTATTCCCGCTGAGGATGAACGAGATAAGTGGCTTGTTGCTGTCATAATGGAATGCAGAGTTAATATTGCAAGCATGGCCTCGGTTTTCTGCTATGAGTTGCAGCCTTGGCGAAATTATTTCCATCATAGCACACTTGATCCATCACATTTCATCATCCAAGATCTCACGGGCACCATCTAATAAACCCCAACCCCAAACCTCAGCAGCATTGCACTGCAAAGGATTGCTGGATGGTCGCGTTTGTGGTGATGCTGCTATTTCGTTGTACGTGTTGAAGCGAGCGCTCCTCTTATACGCCATAATATGAATACATTTCGTCGTTGTTGAGAGGTGTGGTGAGACGCTATCTCACTGGGACCTAGCAGACACGACTAAGAGTCATTGGCCGTTACACGCGACCTACCACCAATAGCCCCTTGCCTGGGTGTAAACGTGTGAATCTGAGGTGCTGTAACCAATAAACAGCAAGAGACTTATAAAGGCTGGGGAAGCCTATCCTGACGGACGAGCTGGCAGTAGTCCAGGACCCGCCAGCCGTTGCTCACAGAAGTCTGACGGGCGGCCTTAAACAGGCCACAACCGTTACTCACAACAACCTGACAAGTTACCTTAACAGGCCATGGGGCGACACGGCACCCCTTCGCACCAACACGCCCCCTCGAGTCGCACCAGGGGTCTGACTGCAAACTGCTATTACTGACGAGCTCGGCGCGGTCAAGGGGCTGCTCAACACTCAGCAGACACAATCGCAGCTGGTCCATCACACACGGGACCCGCAGCCTAAGCCGAAGCTCGAAAGCGCTAAGCAGTTTAATTTTACAACAGATCACGTGGACAAGCATAGATAAGTCATGCGATTAGTACTTTCGTCAAAGCGTGGTTCACCGGCAGTGCATCGCAAAGCTTCCTTACCCACCAGGTGCGCACGGTTGTCCAGTTGCAACACTTCATGCAAGCAAGTAAAATAATCAGTGTAAAATAGCGCATCACTCAAACTGACATGAACGTTGGAGCTATCGTCTTCCTTACTCCGCAATCGCGTGATCGCAACGCGGGCGTTATGCACCACCCAACATCAGTTATTCCACATTGTGATCCGCATTGAATTCCCTATGGCATAAAACGAGGGGTAACCCCCCCTTAAGCATAACCCAGGGGTTAGGGGTAGGGGTAAGGGTAGGGGTAAGTGGTTACCCATGTGGCTATGTACGAAGGGGGGTGGGTAACCTAACCCCGGGGTAGGGGTAACCCCTTACCAAGGGGTAACAAAGGGGTAGGGGTAGCCCCTTACCAAGGGGTAACAAAGGGGTCGGGGTAATATTGTACTGAGGGGTAACAGACAGGGTAACCCGTGTTTACAAGTGTTCCTTGTCCGTATGCCGGGCCATATGCCGGTGTCAATGGATTGTAAGTATGTCCCTGTCCAACCTGCCTACACATGCTATCACAGCTGTCTCATCCATCTATCTGAGCACGTATGCCTATTCGCCT